TCATGATGTTGGATAAACTGATTTGGAACAAGAGTGTACTGTTTAGAGAAAATAGGTATAATGGAGCAAAAGAAGATTAGCACTAACACCTCATGTCTGTTCTCCATTGTGTTTGTGTGAGTTTGTACCAATCATTTTCATTACAGATTCAAAGTTTAAAAAAACAAAGGCAAAAGAGACAAAATTATATATCCTTCATTACACCTTTTGTGGTCATTGGCTTTTGATTTATGGATGACATACAGACAGGTAATAATGCATTTGTTAAGAACAAGTCAAGTTTCATCAGCATGTATATAAATTTATCCATTTGTTTTTCATAAATTCCTATAGCAATGTCAATAACGGTATTATATATAATGTATATTCCTCACACAATCCAATGTTGATTCAGATTATGATGCTAAACCCAGCTTTACACAGATCTTGGTAATCTCATCTATTTGGTTGATATTTTTCATAGCATTGCGTTATCATCTCAAAAAGATTCAAGATCAAAAGATCATTTCGCGTTTAAGATTATCGCGTACAGGTCACCCCCCAAAGCTTGAAAGATTCTCTCATTACGTAGGTATACAAAAAAATATGTATTTTATTCAATTACATACATTGATGGATCCGTTATTATTTTATCATTTGGAAATTGGAATGAATCTATATGTCATTTTCTTTGATTTGTTACAGCTAGGCAAATGGGGTTCAAGGATAGGAGAATCGGTCCTGATATATGTAGATTGGCTTCTGAATACATAAGCAAATATGAAGGGTTTGAAGATGATATATATTCCTATTTTGAGAATGAACCAGATGCTGATTCACTTTATGTCAAGTTGGTGGAAGAGTTTGAGAGATGCATTCTTAGTTACTTTGGATTTCATTGGATTGTTTGAGTATATATTAATATTTAACTAGTTTAGATTCTCCAAAAAGAAGTTCATAAATGTGTTGTTTTCTTGTTTCAACTATCATTAGTGTTTATCTAGCTTTAGAGTTTTGATGTACAAGACTACTCATCATGAAATTGTCAAAATAAACAGTTATAAGAACCTAATGTTGTTTCTTTATGAATGAAATTTAAACAGACCTTTCTGGGCAGGAGCATCAGGAAATGCCGTAGTCATTGAAGCAGATGCCTTCAAAGAATCAGATGTCAATCCTTGTATTACACTACATTGTGAAAGTGAATAACAGCATTGTATCATCACCTTCCGATACCATTTTGTTGCGGCCGTTTTCGTGGTAACAGACTATATGTTGAAAATAGACAACTATTCTAGTTATATTTATATTTTAATGCTTGATGAAGGGTTTGGCAGATGGATATTCTTGGACACTGGACTCATTCACTACTGCATTTCTATCCAAGTTGGAATCATATCCTTCAAAAGCTTCTGTCTCTCTTTTTCTATACACATCCACAAAATAAATTCTTAGTTGTTGAAAAAATCTAATGTTGAATGTTTTTGAGTTGGATTCCTTAACATGATGAATGTTACAGTTGCTGGTGAGATAGTTGGTTTGAAAAGCATAGCAGCATACTATTTTGGTTTAGATATCAATACAAATGTCACCAAAATGGAAGCTGAAGAGGCTCTACAACAGGTGTTATCTGGTTAGTAGAAAATGAAAATGGATTTAATTCAAGGTTTTCAATACCGTTTTGTCACGGCTGTTTTCTCGGAAACGAACCGCTTTTTACAACCTTGGTTTTATTAATATATGTTTTATGGTTTTATTAAAGATTACTTCTGATTATTTTTATAATTCAGTTTGGAAGCCCGTCTTGGTAGCAAACAAAAACCTTGTTGATTACATCTTCTTGATAAGTTTAGAATTTGCTCAATCACATGAATTGCCAATGCAGATACACACAGGGTAATGCATGCTTTCAAATTATTGATTTCTATACATTTTTAGATGAATTTACCATAAACTTTACTTTGTAAAATTAATCAGATTTGGAGATAGAGGTTTGAATCTGAGAATGTCCAATCCTCTTTATCTCCACAATATTCTTGAGGACAAGAGATTTGCAAAGTGTAGGATTGTTCTTTTACATACATCATATCCATTCTCAAAGGAAGCATCATATCTAGCTTCTCTCTACTCCCAGGCAAACAATTCGCAACTCAGTCACTTGCGTTAGTTTGTTCGAATTTATATTAGCACTTGATTATAGAGCAAATAACACAATCTTCTTATTCAGGTTTATCTTGATTTTGGGTTGGCTATTCCAAAGCTTAGTGTTCATGGCATGGTTTCTGCAGTGAAAGATCTTTTAGAGCAAGCACCATTAAATAAGGTGACACTATAAGAAATTCAGAAAGTACTGTTTTTTATTACCTTTTGTTAAATTCATAAAGGGTAAACTTTGTATTATTGCAGGTGATGTTTAGTACTGATGCTTATGCCTTTCCTGAACTCTTCTACTTAGGTTGGTTTAACATCGATTATTATGTTACTTAATTTCAAAGATTATACTCTGTGAAGATTATTGGTTAAAATCACGAGTTTTGTTGTGACAGGTGCGAAAAATGCCCGCAAAGTTGTTTTCACAGTTCTGCGTGACTCGTGCATTGATGGCGATCTCACTGTTTCAGAGGCTGTGGAAGCTGCAAAAGACCTCTTTGCACGAAATTCAATCAATTTCTATAAGATTATCAGTTAACATTGTTGTTATGTTCAGATGATTATTGTGTTGAAGACTTTATGTTGGGTGGTTATTACTTTTTCATTAAGGTTCTATTTTAGGACTATAGTTTTTTATCAGTTATCTAGTAGTTGTCAAGTGTTGGTTTTTAGATATGTTGTTTTTCAATCATATGAAGTTACTTTTTTTCTTCAATAGGTGAAACTCTAGTGCCATTTTTATCATTATGTGCTTTTGATGTATAGTAAGAAACTTTGTTACATCTTTTCTTTATCCTACTCTGGGCACTTCGCTCAATAGGTCATCATGACATGATTCGAACAGCCGAATTGGTGAGATAGTTGAAATTATTTTTACTATATTACAAAGTGATAGAAAATAAAACAAAAAATAATACTATAAATAAATATATTAAAGAAGAAATAATTTAAAGAAAAAAATAACACAAAAAAAACTATATTTAAATTTTTTTACATAGATAATAATTTAAATAAAAAATATATATAATAGAAAAATAAAAAAAAATCAAGACATAAACAAAAGTCATGGCGACAGTACCGAACCGTCGTAATCAACAATTAAAAATAATCAACAAAAGTCATGACGGTATCGAACCGTCGTCATAAACAATTTAATCAATTTCAAAAGATATTCACGACAGTATCGAACCGTCGCCATCAATAATTAAAAGAAACTCAAAAGATAGTCACGACGGTATCAACCCGTCGTAAACTTGAACGACAGTTTTTGTAACCGTCGCGAAATAGGTTGGGGACACACACTTCTGCGACGGTAAAGCAACCGTCGTGGAAAGCAAATTGTGACGGTTTTAACCGTCGTAATCTACAAAAATACCTATCGCAATCTGCCAATTTTCTTGTAGTGTAGGGAACATGCAATGAGAGTGAAGTCATGATCTCAATTTCTAACTTGAGTGACTCATCGATCAACCGGAAATAAAGGAAAGTGATAAAATCCTATAGGGAGCATGCACTGAGAGCGAAATCGTGGTATCAATTTCTAAATTGAGTGACTCATCGATCAACCAGAAAGGAAATAAACACAAGCACAATACATATAATAAATGAAGTGCAGAATACTTGCTACATGTCTTTAAACAGCGACTTCAAGCGCACGCTTTTTATTTCCTACTTCTCATGATATCTAGAAAGAAATGAAATATGGAAGAATAAATTGGAAGCAGTATAATACCAAACGAACAATAATGTCCGCAAAAGGCGCAAGCAAAGAAAAGAAACCCAAAATACTTCGCGCGAGCTGACATCAACAAATAAACAGTCAGGTTGAATGTCAGAATAGGTGTTGAAGCATCATCGATGTGAAAATAAATCACAAACAGAAACTCGAACATATACGCATATCAAACAACGAACCTGCATAAGACTCAACTTAACAAGCAAAGGTGAATCACAAGTCTCAAGTAATCGAAAAATTAGGAATTAATTTCCTAAAATCAATTAACAAGCCTAAAAAATCATTGATTTTTTTTGTAGTTTTTATCATAAAAAAAAAATCTAAATTCCATTTATTTTTTTGTTTTATTCTATATTCTATTACTATTTTTATTATAAAAAGAAAATTAAACTAAAACAAAAATAAAATCTAAAACTAAAGAAATTAAGAAGAGTCAGGGGGTATTTTTCCAGAAATTCAAGGTGCCATAAGAAACCACAAGGCTTGTGCTAGGCCCGGGTTGAGTCCAATAAGCTTCTTTTTTTTTCATTCAGTCACATGTTTTACCAAAAACTTGCCCAGGCCTTGAAGGTTTCGGCCCAGAATCAACACTAAACCCAATCCAAAGTTCAACATATGAGGCTTGATTGTTATAGTATTTTTCCATTATCCAATTTTTTTTATTAATCAAAAAATAAGATAAAGGGTGAATATTGAGAAAGGGATTAGGGTTCAGGTTTGTGCTTCTTGGACTTCCTGAACAACGAAAAATCTTCTTCTTTGAACTCTCCACACGGCGCCACAAGCCTATTCTTCTTCTTCACTATCATTCACCGTTCTTCTTGCTCAAATTTACGCCGCCTTTAAAACGCGTCGACCACCAAAAACGCCCACCTCTACATCTTGTCATTGTCTCAGTTCGACCGTCATCACCTTCAATTCTTGCTCCACCTCTGTAAATCATATCTGAACCAGAAGATCTAAAATCCTACATGCTAAATTGCATCATCCTCATGCTTAATCGCATCTTAGAACCTTGTGGATTCAACTCACCTACGTTCAACCTATGCTATAACACGAAGAAACATACATAAAAGCAAAAGAATACAGAAGCTTGGAACTCACCGACCGGAGAAAGTCAGGTGCCTTCTTGACGATGTTGAAGAACGAAAATCCAGAGAGTAACTTCCAGGTATGAATCTTCAGCCTCTCTTCCTGATAATTCTGCTTCTATCCTCTTTGCCTTCTTCTACGTGTTTATCGTTTTTCAGTGTGTTAATTTTGAATCAAGTAGTAGTTGTTGTTGTAGTCACTGATGCGTAATGTTGAAGAAGATGAAGATGTGTTGCGAAAGTGGGTTCCGATTGAAGAAGATGGTGAAGTAGAGGTTTCTTTAGAAAGCTTAAAGGCTGAGATCACTGATTGTTGAAGATTCTTGTGGAGATTATATTGAGATGTGTTGAAGGTGAGAAGGGGATGTTGTATGAAGAAGGTCGACGGTGCAGAGCGATTATGGTGATTCGGAGATAGGGTAAAGAGAAGATAGTATAGAGATTTGGAGAAAATAAACACTTTCTGAGATTGACGGTCGTTGAGGGTTGAAGGAGGAAGGTTTTGGTGATTCAGATTCAGAGGTTTGAGAGAGGGAAAGAGCAGATAAAGATCGATGTTTTGGTGGAGAAGAAAGTTGATTAGTTGAGGATGACGAAGAATCAAGTGAAAAATCTCAGAAAGTTGTGAAATCAAAAGTGGTTGAAGGCCCCCCAACAAAGAAGTCCGTTTCTGATTTATTATCAACTTTCTGTTATGAATCAATCCCCTTCAATTCTGTTACCAATCTATTATAAATCTCTGGAGATTCTGTTATAGGTTCCAGCTTCCCCTTCTAATTACTGTTAGATGTTATAAGAGTTAGTTGGAAGACAGTTAGGCATTGTACTAGGTTGTTAGGAAGTTAGTTACAAATGCAATTAGAAGTTTATTTTCTATTTTGGTTATTGTAAAAGTTAGTTATCAAGTGGTTTTCTGTTGGTGAAGCCTTAATTGTTAGTTGTTAGGATTGGCTTTATGAGTTAGTTACTAAAATAAAACTGCTTTGGTTATAATTCTGTTAGATGATGCTTGGTATCAGAAGTTTAATGCTAAAACAAAACTATTAGTCCAGTTATAAAAAGTTGGCTTGAAAAAAGTTAGTATAGTTTGATATAATATTTTTGTTATTGCTGTTAGGAGACGGTTAAAGGTTAGTTATGAATGCAGTTGAGTTGCTGATTTCAAAGTTTGTTATAAGACTGGATGACTAGGATTGATTCCTGAGAAAGCTGAAATTTCTCACGGTTTTACAATTTAATGTCTTCTCTGCTTTTTCATTTTGGTCATGTGAGGCTGATATGGTTTATTGGAACTAAGCCTTTTTTTATTTATTTATTGAACCGTATACCACTCCTTGCATTCTTCCTTCATTTTTATGTACAGATGAGTCGAATATGTCTGAACTGGTTTTTTTGGTTATATGCAGATTTTATGGTGAACTGAACTAGTTTAGCGGATGTTTGGCCTGATTTGCCTAATTTTTACTATAAACTATGCAGGGCTGCCATGGTAAATTTGTTGAAGGAAGCGTGAAGAAGCTTAGGCATAATGCAAGCAAGGTTGAAGTGAGAAAAAATAAAAGTAGGATGGAAGATTAGAACTAAGTATTAGGAGAAGTTTTGATGAAATTTCCTTTGTAATTTTGAAATGGCATATGATGTATGGTTTTGGAATGGTATTGTACATCTTCTTGGATATAAAGTCTTGGGTTGGTAATGAACTTAAAATGACTTTTAATCATGTACTTATGTAAAAATTCATGTTGTAAATGGCCCTGCCTTTTGGAAACCTTGTGATATTTTGAAGTTTTAATGATGATAATCAAAATATTCTTCACTATTAGTAACTCGAAGGGATCATAAGAATCCGAATTGAATCATCCCATTTTTCAAAGTGTCTTCAGTTGCATAGGCTTGATTATCTACACGACCAACGATTTAAAACCTTGGTGTTTTAAAAGACAACATTAGGTTTTAGCCTTGAGACGTGTGACATGAAACCTCTAGAGAGCTTGTGTTACTAGTCAACCATATGCCTAGATGAATATCTTTACCTAAAGTATCCATTCACACATAACTTGTGAGGTAAATCCACATGAATTGATATTCCACAAATATATGCCATCTTGAATGGAGAAATATCCACGAGCCTTGCGTTGAAGTGAACGGACAATAATGGATTGGTACAAAATAGACTTTGAATCCATTTGAACTTGATGACATTCCTTGAAAAATCTCCAAATCATCTCCAGCGAGACCTTAATTCTGATCTCTAACCCATAATTTCACAACAAAGTACATCTTGATTTGATGGAACCTTAAACTAATCTTCAACCATTTGGGAAATGACACCACAAGAAAGGAATTCTTGATGAAATCTTCTAAACTTCTTAACAGTAACGTCTTGTGGAGAAAGCCATTAGGAGAAACCCTAAATCATGATGATGAACTACCACTAGAGAGAATGACGATCCTTGTAGGCTTGAGGAGAACAACTAGCATAGTGAACTATTATTCAAACATAGCATATGGAAAACCATGATTCTTTAGATATTGATAAATCTTGATAAAACGATATTGTAGCTTAAGGATCCTTGCCAAGGACGATATCTATGGTACTTGTGATTCCAAAACCCTAGTTTTGTACCAAGAATGATGAGAGAACCACTTGAATCAACTATGAGTAAGGTAGCAACCTTAATTTATAGAGAGAAACCCTAATGCCAAACTCTTCGATCCTGTAAACATGGGACCAATGCTATATGTGAGATGTATAGAGTATGATGAGGGATCTTAGGGGAGATAGATGTGAACTATCCACTCATAGAGGAGATAGCAAAAAGATAGTAACATCAGCACAAGGGATCGGCAACTGCTAACCCAAAGGGTACAAACAGAAACGATAAGACAATATTGACTCAAGTATGACGATAAACTTCAACATCGAGACTAGCAAGTGAATGATTGGGATCAGTACTTATGACTGGTAACAACAGTTTGATGTCAGCAATTATGGCTGGAAACAACTCAACTCAATCAGAGTAAGGTCCAATGAGGAGAAAGAGATGAACCTCGAATAAGAATGACAATGAACTACCAACTCAAAGACGAAGGTAGAAAAAAAAACAAAGAATCAATACTGAGTTTTATTGAAGGTAAAGAAATAGAAGATACACCGACGTTTACTGAAGGCGAGCTACCAACTTTCACTGAAGGTAGAGATATGGAGTATGCATCGACTTTTAATAAAGGTGAGCTACTGAATTTTATTGAAGGTAGAGAGAAAAGAAGATACACCAATGTTTACTGAAGGTGAAATATGTATTAACGATAACAAGTTTCCCAAAATTTTGGTGTTCTACCTAGAACAAGTAAAAATACAAGCTATCTCAAATAAAGAGAATACCACTTGCGACGGTTTCACAATAAACTTGTCTTGCAAAACTTCTTCAAAGAGACATCATTTGATAGAAAATCAGATAAACTTCCCCTCGATCCTGATCATAAGCCACAAACTGGTCTAAGTTTCTTATTTAACCAAGATATCTCACCTGGAAAGGGTAAAAATACAAGCTATCTCAAATAAAGAGACTACCACTTATAAAGATTTCACAACAAACTTCTCTTATGAAACTTTCTTGAAGAGATACCATTTGATGGAGAATTAGATAAACTTCCCCTCGATCCTGACTATAAGCCACGAACTGGTCTCAGTTTCTTCTTTAACCAAGGTATTTCACCTGGAAAGGGTAAAAATATTGTTGTAAGAATATTTCAACGAACTGTCTTTATCATTGAAGTACAACCAAACTCAACAACAAACCATAAATTCTAAGGTTTTAAAAATTCCAAAGTTACTAAATTAAATCTAAATCAAATAAAATTCCAAAATTACTAAACTAAATCTAAATCAAATAAAATTCTAAAGTTATTAAATTAAATTTTCATATCCACAAAATAGCACATATAAGCACACAAGGAATAATAACAATGCAATATATAAGAAAATCTTCATATTCACAAAATAGCACATATAAACAGCTATTTTGTGAATATGAAGATTTTCTTATATATTGCATCATTAAGAAATTAAAATGATAGAGATATTTAAATATAAATAAAAGAGAATGTAACTAATTATCTAAAGAAATTATTTGAACTAAATTAAAACTTTAAGATTACTTATTAAAAAATTCTAAACTAACTACAAATTCTAATGTTATAAAAATAATTCTAAAATTACTAAATTAGATCTAAACTAAATTAAAATTTTAAAAATTAGTAAATTAAATCTAAACTAAATTAAAATTTTAAGGTTATAAAAATAATTCTAAAATTATTAGATCTAAACTAAATTAAAATTTTAAGATTAGTAAATAAAATCTAAACTAAATTAAATTTCTAAGGTTGCTAAATTAAATCTAAAACAAATAAAAATTTCAAAGTTACTAAACTAAATCAAATAAAATTCTAAAATTAATAAACTAAATCTAAATCAAATAAAAATTCTAAAGTTATTAAATTAAACCTAAATCAAATAAAAATTCTAAAGTTATTAAATTAAATCTAAATCAAATGAAAATTCTAAATCAAATAAAATTCTAAAATTATTAAACTAAATCTAAATTAAATAAAAATTTTAAAGTTATTAAATTAAATCTAAATCAAATAAAAATTCTAAAGTTATTAAATTAAATTTAAATCAAATTAAATCTAAACCAAATAAAATTCTAAAGTTATTAAATTAAATCTAAATCAAATACAAATTTTAAAGTTATTAAATTAAATCTAAATCAAATTAAATCTAAACCAAATAAAATTCGAAAAAATTACTAACTAAAATATATAATAAAACAATTAAAACAAAATATTAGAAAGAAAAAAAATGAGAAAAAGTAAGTGGGGGCAAGAAAGAAATAATTAAAAACCTAATCTAATTTATTTTTTTGTATTTTTTCTAATAACTTTTTTTAATAAATAAGACTAAAAAAGGAGTTAAAATTAAAATATAAAGGCTAAGGATCAAACTCAGGTCCCTATAACTACAGCTATTCTACCTTGCCACTAAACCATTGTTTTTTCTGTTAAAAATACTCTTTGAATAAAGTAAAAGTGATAAACAAATGGGTTGAATTTAAAATGGACCGGGTTGGGTTAGACCCAGGCCCAACCCTCTTAAAAATAAAAACAAGAGGTTCAAAAGAACCCTAAAACTTCAGCCGCACTATCTCTCTCAATTTCCTCTTCCACGCTTATGCCTCTGTTTCTCGAAACCTCTTCCTCTGTTCTTGGCCTCCACTCTCAGTTTCTCTCAATCCTCATCTCTCAAATGCTCTCCCTGCTTCCTCTATTTTCATTCGTGAAAGCAACAACAATTAAAACTTCTCTCGGCTTTTGTTCTTTTTTCTCACCTCTCTGCCTTTGATCCCACTGGTTCTTCTCAAACGGTTATCTTTTCTCACCATCATCAATCTCAAACTCTCGTCTCACGATATACTCCCTCCGTGTAACCGAACAACAACAAAAATCTGTAAAAACTCCTCCAATTTTCATGGCTTAAATATAACAACGAGAACAATATTTTTTCTCACTATTCACAGAATACCATAACACAGTGTATAATAATAACAACGGCTATAGCATCTCAATTTACAATTTCATGGCAAATAAAGACAACACACAAATTCAAGCATAGCATTAGAGGTAAGACGAATATGAGGACTTACAACATCAGAGCCAGTCCAAGATTTTCGATTTCGGCAAAAATATAACAGAAAACCAGAGGTAAGATTTATGCTTCTTTCTTCTCTTTCTCCTTTTAATAAAATTTCTGGAGATATGTGGTGTTGCGGTAACTGGAAATCTGCAGATTTTAATGAACTTGATGCTTGAATTTGCAGGTGTTAAATTCTAATTCATAGTGTCGAAAAGATTAGATTTGTTTAGATTTAAATAGATTTGATTTAAGTCTATAACAGATTAGATTGGATTTAGTAACAAAATAGATATTTTGGGCTTTGGGCTTAGGGTGCAAGCTCAGTTATAAATAGAGGGAGTAACCCCTATTTTTTGTAAGTAAGTCAGACAAGTCATTCACAGTATTTTGCAGTTGCAAAGTGAATAATAAAGTTTTCACAGTTTGTGAGCAGAGAGAAACTCTACAGAAATTATTTGTCTTGTCTTCTTTCTTTGTTTGTCTCATAATTAAATTGTCATTGTGGTAGAAATTCATCATAGACTTTGGTGGATTTCCAACATCTGGTATCAAGAGCTTTTTTTTCGATTCAAGGGAAGTATCAATCAAGAACGATAAAAGAATTCATGATGACAAGTTATGGGAATACAAACTATCCAGCAACCCTGCCAATTCCGAAAGTTAACAACTATGAGAATTGGTGCAAACATATGAAAGTCTTATTCAGGTGTCAAGGTATTTGGGATCTTTTAAAAGATTGAGTCGAAGAGCTTGGAGAAAACGTTTCAGAAGAAGAAAAGAAGAAATACACAGAATCTGAGAAGCTAAGTTATAAAGCATTATTTATAATTCATCAATGTGTCATCCCTGACAATTTCGAAAAGGTTAGTGATTCAGAATCTAC